TGGACGCGTTGGCGTGGGAAATTCATCGTATTCCCACGGTTGTTTTTGGTATATTTTTACTGATTATTCAAATTTATTGAATGTTTTTCATATTTTGAATGTCTATAAGTTGCTTTGTTTAATTTCCTACATTTTTTATGCAATCTGTTGCATTTTAAATTTTATTTTAAATTTATTTCCAACCACTTGATGATTGATGGTTGATAAGATCTTACGTTTTCTTTCTCCTTTACTGTGGGATCTATTTCTGACGTTTCTTTATGTCTTTCCCCTCATGATTCTGTTGGTTCAGTTCTTACGTTCCTATTTTGAATTCCCCTCTTTCATTTTGTGTAGGGGAAGTTCTGATTAAAAGTTCGAATCGAAAGTCTTCAACGAAGACAAATAATCTATTTGTCTAGTCAATTGGCATTTATTTCGAAGTATTTAGATAGTTTCTTTTAATTAAAACTACTCTCTAAAATTAAAAACAATCTACATTAATTGTTTTTATTACTGTCTAGTCCTGAATACCTCGGTATTTTCATGAATTTATTTGGTATTTTCTGGCATCTGGCAGCGCTTTAAATTCTTAACGCTGGCAACCTTGTCATTACAATCGATAACAGCAGTATTTATGCAAAAAAAATAAAAAAAGAAACAAGCATAGCAACGGTGTACATAAACAAATGCGAAGAAAATCCATTCTAATCGATTCCCAGTAACTGCGCTTGGCAGAAAAAGTTGCTCACTGCCGACAGATATTGGGGAATAGTCCAGAGACACGAGTCACAAGATAAACCATGCCGCAGGAGGAGGAAACCGCAGGAACGGAAGTGCCGCAGCCGCAGCAGCAGCAGCTCGATGACGAAATCGAAAATGTTCGTGTGGTGGTGCGGACGAGGCCCATGGACAAGAATGAGCTAACTGCTGGTGCACTGAGTGCCATATCCGTGGATAAGATCAACCGAGCCATCACCGTGATGAAGCCGAATGCCACGGCCAATGAGCCGCCGAAGACTTACTACTTTGACAACGTCTTCGATCTCAGCTCCAATCAGCTGGACCTCTATGTGGACACGGCGCGGCCCATTGTCGACAAGGTGCTGGAGGGATACAATGGCACGATCCTAGCCTATGGCCAGACGGGCACCGGCAAGACGTACACAATGTCGGGGAACCCGGACTCGCCACAAACAAAGGGCATAATACCGAATGCCTTTGCGCATATCTTCGGACACATAGCCAAGGCTCGAGAGAATCAAAAGTTCCTGGTGCGCGTCAGCTACATGGAGATCTACAACGAGGAGGTGCGGGATCTCCTAGGCAAGGATGTGAGCAAGAGTCTGGAGGTGAAGGAGCGGCCGGACATTGGCGTTTTTGTCAAGGATCTCAGCGGCTATGTGGTGCACAACGCGGACGATCTGGAGAATATTATGCGGTTGGGCAACAAGAATCGCGCTGTGGGAGCCACCAAAATGAATCAGGAATCCTCTCGCTCCCATGCCATCTTCTCCATTACCGTGGAGCGCAGCGAGCTGGGCGAAGGCGGTGTGCAGCATGTGCGGATGGGTAAACTTCAGCTGGTGGATTTGGCCGGTTCGGAGCGGCAGTCGAAGACACAGGCCAGTGGACAGAGGCTGAAGGAGGCCACCAAGATCAATCTGTCGCTGTCGGTACTGGGCAATGTCATCAGCGCTCTGGTAGATGGCAAGAGCACGCACATTCCCTACAGAAACTCCAAGCTGACGCGCCTTCTGCAGGACTCGCTGGGCGGCAACTCCAAGACCGTGATGTGTGCTACCATTAGCCCAGCGGACAGCAACTATATGGAGACGATTTCCACGCTGCGCTATGCCAGTCGTGCCAAGAACATTCAGAATCGCATGCATATTAACGAGGAGCCGAAGGATGCGCTGTTGAGGCACTTCCAGGAGGAGATTGCTCGCCTGCGCAAGCAGCTGGAGGAGGGCACACTCGAGGAGGAGCCGCCGAGCTCTGAGGAGGAGGAGGACACTGCCGACGATGAGCTGGAGGCGCCGCTGGAGATCGAAATGGAGTCCTCCACTGTACAGGTGGCCGAGAAGAAGCCGAAAAAGAAGCGCGAGAAGACCGACGAGGAGAAGGAGCAGCTGGCACAGCGGAAGGATGAGCATTTGCGCGAGATCGAGCATGCCAAGACCGAGCAGGAGCAGCTGCGCAACAAGTTGGTGTCCCTCGAGGGCAAGATCCTAGTGGGTGGCGAGAATCTCCTGGAGAAGGCACAGACGCAGGAGAAGCTGTTGGAGCAATCCATTGCCGAGCTGGATGAGCGCGAAAAGACGGAGGAACAGCTGCGGGAAACGCTGCAGAAAAAGGCCACCGAACGCATCGACATTGAGGAGCGCTACTCCACGCTGCAGGATGCCAGCACAGGGATAACCAAGAAGATCCATCGGGTTATGCAGATGCTGATGGGCGTCAAGTCGGAGCTGGCCGACCAGCAGCAGGAGCATCAGCGCGAGAAGGAGGGCATCTACGAGAACATACGCAGTCTGTCGCGGGAGCTGGCTCTGTGCGAGCTGGTGCTCAATTCGTACGTGCCCAAGGAGTACCAGTCGATGATCAATCAGTACACGCACTGGAACGAGGACATTGGCGAGTGGCAGCTCAAGTGCGTCGCCTACACGGGCAACAACATGCGCAAGCACATCTCGGCCCACAAGACCAGCGGCAAGGAGCCAGAGTTTGTCGATCTTTCGCACGTTTATCTCAGCTACAACACCGATGGCGTCTCCAATCCGTTGCGGCAATCCAAATCGGCCAGGCCACGCACCTCCGGCGTGCCACGCCCCACAACAGCAAGACGATACTGAAGCCACAACAGTTCCAGTAATAGTCCCAGTACCAGTCACAGTCCCAGTCTCACTCTCAATGGTCCATTGCTAGTCCAAGTCCAGGTTTTAACCGGGCTACGTGCCCAGTTTTGGTTTCTTTTGTTGTTGCTCTTACTTTTCTACGGCTTAAAGTTTATTTGCTCAGCGAATTTTCGTTTATAGTATTTAGTTTCTTGTTGATTTATTGTTTAGGCCATACTTTTAGGTTGATCAACGGTGCAATATGTCTACAATTAACATTTGTTTATAATTTATTCTACGATACTTACGACTAAGCAGGGACAAGATTTTACACCCTAGGCACAAATCATGCGTAAGAAAGATACTATTATTGATGTGCTTTTAAATAAATAGCAAATATTATAATCCAAAGATAATATCAAAGAAAAGATTGCGAATTCCTTGTGCCGCCTTTTGCACCATCTAAAAATACTCTTAGTGAGGGATATGTACAATTTACATGCCAATATCTACATGGCCATGTACATGCTACATTTCGAGGCAGCGACACCTACTGTAGGGGAAATTGTCTAGTCAAAATAGCTTTCTGGGTTCTGGGGGGAAATTCTCAGCAGCAAAACATGCAACAAATTAAATCAGGGCTCTGCCGTTGCTGCTCAACAAAACTGAAATTTGGCCAAACGAAAACAGCTGGTTCCATAGTGTAGCGGTTATCACGTCTGCTTTACACGCAGAAGGTCTCCGGTTCGATCCCGGATGGAACCAGATGGTTTATTTTTTTGTTTGGTTTTTTTTTATGTAATTTATATTTTATGTTTTAATTCGCATCACCCTTCAGCTATTTTTAACCAAAGAAAAAAACTAAATATTACATATAATAATAATAAAATAATTTAAAAAAAGTAAATTTCCTCCTGGTTCCATCCGGGATCGAACCGGAGACCTTCTGCGTGTAAAGCAGACGTGATAACCGCTACACTATGGAACCAGTTGAGGTTCTCGCGCCAGAGTTCTTACACAAGCCAAGGCACCAAGCCTTCGCCAAAAATTAAAGGAATATTCTTATTTGAATGATTTTGGAAAGTGGTTTTTGAAATGCACGATGAAATTGTGCACAGACTGCTGCTCATTTGCATATTCGCTTAAGGAAATTAATAATTTAATAAATTAAATATCTTTCTTTCTGTTGAGCATTTGTTGTCCGCCATTTGTTTGGTTTAAATTCCTTCCGCTCTCTTGCTGCATATTTTGGTACCTGGTGCAAGGTGGCTGTGGGCAGACAAGATGTAGTCATGAATGCATTACTAATTGAGGCATCAACGCAATTTAACCGAAATAAAAAACAATTGCAAAAGCGCTGCTTCCTGGTAATTAATGCCTTACCTTTGTGTAAATACACCTTGGATTTTGCAGGTACATACCCGGCTCAACAAACATGCAGAGATAAGAGTGTATTACTGTACCGTACGTTTCCGTTACGGTGTATTTATTTGTGACTTTGAGTGGGATTTGAGCATTTTAGATCACCTAAGAACTTCACTCCTCAGCCGGCCCTCCACGCCATGACTTTTATCTCTTATCGCGGCACGTTTTGTTTGCTCTTTCCGATTGTGATTCGTCTGCTGGGCGGTTTAGGGGGCGGGACCACATGTTGGGAGTTTCAGAGTCAAGTCGTCGCTAGCGGAATTTTCTGTCTCTGTCTGACGTCACGAATAACTGTTTAATTTACATATGCATGTTGAAATCAATTCGCAACGATCCAAAGACAGAGAGTGGGAAAGGTAGAAGAGAGCGGCGAGGAGAGCATCCAACTCAAATAGGAGAGAGAGCAATGAGTGAGAGTCGTACACTGTCTTACAAAATTTGGGCTAGGCGAGATGTTGTGTATAATCGAAATTGGGGTTATTTTTCAATTGTCTCTTCTCATCTCACATGACAGTGTATGTTTTCACTATAGCCTGCTACTTAAGTTGCTTTCACACTGTATTTGGGTGTGAAATAGACCCAACCGCATATATTTATAGAGAAAACCGCTAATCCTGTTGGGTAGTGTAGTCTCGCTAGCGAACGACTCTCACGGCAGACAATCGGTCGCACTCTCTTCTTATTTCTTCGCTCTTTGAGTCGGAACAAAATATTGACTGATCGTTTGGGGCCGATTATTTCAACGCTTATTTCTCTTTTACTCATCGTCGCAATCGGAAGGGAAAAATACTTGGGTGCTTTTATTTCGTACATTTTTGTAATTTTTGTATTTTATCGTGTCGTGTTCAACGTGTGCGAGTATTTATTGTTGCTGTATAATTGTACAATTGCCGACGGCTAAAAATACAATACGTACATTAAAAAGAGTAGCAGCCGCTAGCTAACGGAGTGCCACGTTCTCGCGTTCTACAAAACTACTCTCTCCACTACACACACACAACACACTATATTTAATTAATTTCAAACAAAAAACCGCATGGCAACAACAATCCCAACAATTTCAATGAAATAAACTATAATTTCAAGCGTTATCAACGTGCATTTGTTATAAACCAAAACGCGTGCAAATTGTCCAGTGCCACAAAAAGAGAGAAGTCCGGAAAAAGTCATATCTCCTTTAGTGATTTTCCAATGTAGCCCTTCACGCTTGATTAACACGAGAGCGTTGTGTGACTATATAGCAGTTTCGTGTTAAACTCTTCAAATATCGTACAAAGTGGCCGACTATAGCAAAGATCCAAAGAATTCTCCTCCATACCACAAATTTCCCCAGCGAATTTCACTCAAGTGCTAGCGCAACATTCGCCTGAGTCACGAGCCATTTCAATTTTCCGGTAAGTTGTCCTCGATCTCGATTTCGAATATATAGAATGCACCGCTTCCATCGAGTGTTAAGTGTTAGTGTTAACAGTGCCATTAGTAAGGCTCTCTCGATTATTGATTATTGACCTCGTAATATTTAACATTCAGACAGACAATCAAGAAAGGCGACGCGCAATATCTGTTTACTGGCAAAAAAAAACACCGAAATAGGGTCAACATCTGATGAGAGAGAGGATGAGACGCAGTGCTGTATAGGGATGATACTCTCCTCTCTCTCTACTCTCTGCACAACAACCACTCTTCAGAGGATTTCTGGGTACTCTTATCTGGGGTTTGTCAGGGTAAAACCCAATGGAAATTGCCTATTTTTAGTACATGTTGCCATTCCATTGATTAAAGTATATTTCCCCCAACATGCCCGATATCAGCTAGACCTTGCCACCTGCCCTCTGGCTGTGACTCATTTGTTGAATAACATTTTGCCAAGATACGACGTGTATGAGACATGCGGAACAAGACAAGATCACATGGGTGTTGGACAGAAGGTAGAAAATCGTTGACATGGGTGAAGACCCCGGACAAACACAACGAAGAGACACTTCTGCCGTTGAAGTTTGTCAAATAAACATGCCATATAAAATGGCCAAGACGCAGTGGCATCCAAAAATACTCTGTACTTGATGATGTATTTACATAGTTATCGGTCCGTCAGTCTGTCCGGTTTTAGTGGCTTTTCGCTTAAAAATTTCCCTTATCTGTGGCTAGATAACATTTAATTTTGCACATGATACCAGTCCAAACCAGGCCAAACAATATCAAAATTTGCGACAGTTTAGTTAAGGTCTTACCACGCAGCTGCTTGCACAGAGAGTTCTAAAAAGAGTTTCGTTTTCCAACAAATTGAAAACCTTGCAACCTTGTTTTTTTTTCTCAGTCAATAAAAGTAAGAGTTCAACCTCAAAAGCCAATGGCCTAGAATACAAAACTACACAGCAGAAAAAACCCACAAAAAAACGTGTCAAATTACCTCCAAAATCGGTTGAAGGGGGAGCCTAAAGCAAAGTCTCTGCCTAGCAACATGGGATTCAAGTTGGAGTTGAAAAACTGGGGAGACTGTAGACTGCGCATGCGCGACGGCGACGGCGTCTTCTCAGGCTTCTTCTGCCCTGCTCCTCTCGGCGTCTGGAGCGGCCAAACAAATAAAAGGCAATAAAAACTATTAAAGCAACAACAGAGAGCGAGAGGCAGGTCTTTCCAAGAAGTGCCCCGGCAGGCAGGCAGACAGGCAACCAGTCGGCCAACGAGCCCCATTGTACGACAGACAAATGAGGTCAAAATCCTTGGGGTTCTTGTCCTTCCTGGCTTAGGCTTGCTCGTCGGGACTGTGGGATATTTGTGAGCAACAGGAATGTTTCGTGCACCAGCAGAACAGGAAAGAGGGGAAAAAAAGTATAAAAATAGAAGGAGAAACAAGACTGTGATCGGTTAGTGGATTTGTGTCTGTGTCTCTGTGTATACTTTGATATTGACCGACAATTGTCAATCAATTTGCTGCTTAGGTAAGGCTAGATAGAAAGAGAGATATATAATTATATATGTGGCTAGCAGATTAATCAAGGTTTTTTCCCATTCGCATTCCCATTGTGCTGACGACAGCCTGGGACTTATGTAAATGAAATGTTCTGGTACACACGACTTGTCGCCATTTCAATTCTCAATTCATTTCAATTGAGAGCAGACCAAGAATTTGATTGACCCCACAACACAGACAGATACAAACAGGCAAAAACAGACAGACACCGACTCTTATCAATTTGTGAGAGGCAAAGAAAGTGAAATGCGTGGGGAAAACTCATGTTGCATAGACACACTCCCCGTTCGACAATTGCGCACTGATGAAAATGATGGGACGGCTGCGCTCAATTAAATGTCAATTCTAATTGTAAAATTGTAGACAAGCGGAAACAAGCCCCAGAAGTCGGTCAACAACAAGGGCAAAGTTCAGCACTCAAGTGACCCCCAAAAGAGCGCCTCTTTGGGTGGATAGGTTATCTCATTTCCCTGAGAAGCATCTGCCCAGCTCTCCCTCTAGTGTCTCGGTAGCGGCCAAGTTCAATAGAACTTTTGATCGTTGAAAACAACGCAAAAAAATTGCACGAAGACGATTTTCCTCGCATTTGCCAGTCGGTTAGTGCTTCGTCGTGGCTAGAAAAACCCGAAACCCGAAGAGCCGAAGAAAACCCCGAAAAAGCACCAACCCATTCGACATTTTCGGTGGGAACGTCAAGGCATACGGATCAGTACGAACAAACACGAATATATTCAAAGAGATAGAAAAAAGATCAACCTTTGACGCAAAAGGAGGATTCCATTTAAAAGTATATTTTCGGTGCAGATCTTTCCGGTTTTCCCATCAATTTAAGTCGCGCGCGCACTTGACCAATTTCCAGATAATTGCAGTTAATTGGAAACGTCAAATAGATTTTTGCAGTGCCTGTGCGGGATTAAAACTCAAGAGGTTTTTGTGTGCCGCAAACCCCCCGAAAATTTAACAAAGAGGTAAATGACCCGTCATGCTGTGAGGAAGAGAAGAGAGTTCTTTAATAACAGGTTTCAGTTGCATCATTTTTTGATACAAATTTCAAATCCGATTAGTGAGAATTTGTGCTTAAGAATTATAATATAATTCTCCCCGTCTCTCTGTCTGTCTGACAGCAGAGGAAATTACAAAACAGTGCAAAAGATACAGTGGAAAAGCTTAAAAAAAGAACAAAGCACACGAAAAGTTGCTAATAAATAACTATAAAAATTGGTCTGCAAACACAAGGCAAATCCCACTGCAATGTTTACAAACTGCAGATACAAACAAATGGATTAAAGAGTAAAAAAAGAAAACAACAAAAATGATATAAAAATCAAATACATATAAACCAAAGGATCTTTCACAATGGATTATATCACTTTGATTGTGGCACAAGTTTTCCCAGAGGGAAACCAACGATCAATTCTTTGCTAATTTGATTCTCTGACAAATTTGCATTTGTATATTGTATCTATTAATTAAGAGTTTCCCGCTAATTCCACATCACAGTTAATCATCATGTATACATATGCATATTGTATATGTTTTATATATAGTGAATATATTCACATTTAATCGCTCTCTGATCATTCATTGAATCGTTAGCATTCGATTAGGGAATGTGCCACGAATGGGAATGGCAAATATTACGCCTCAGGTTTCAGTCCTTCCCAGACCTTTTGTTAAACTGCCAATCACGTTTGCATGTGCGATCGGATGCCGGCATTGTCCACGTGTTTGATATCATAGAAATTCAGTACGAATCAGAATCAAAATCAGAGTGCCAGTCGGGCAGGGACGTCTACGTTCCAGACGTCTCGACGCTTTCGTCTGGTCATCCACACTATACTATACAATTGTTCCCTCTCCCCACTGCACTGTCTGTTAACTCTGAAAATGTGCCAGATCCACAAAAGATATAGTATCTGCATGTGCCTGCCAGTTGATATTACAAGAGCCATTGCAGTGGAGCATTTGCATAGCTGACTCTGGACTTTGGTACTCTGTGGGGGCATCAGTGGACTCCCGGGATACCGGCGGGGACCTTATCATAATCTGTGGCGACGCGTGGCAGCAGCCAAGTAAGCAGTTTTCGTTTTCTCTTTGCTGCTGTTAACCCAATTGATTAAAAGCCCTGAAACCTGGCCGTCCACTGGTCAGCATTTTATATGCACCGTCAACTGTTTCGTTGATTTTATTTTATTCGGTTATTCATTGAGACATTTCCCACATTCGTAGAACCCTTGTGAAGAGTATACATTGTATGAATTTCCTGTATCATTCACGTGGCACGTGAAGACACGTACCGTCGGCTACAGCACATGCCACATGTGGCGCTGCGCTGAAATTTCTAGGAAAGATTATGAATTGCCTTCTTTTTTACGGCAAACGTAACAGAAACAAAATTAAAAGTATCTACCACATTTCTCTTGTTTATTTAGTTTATAAATCTTTTAAAAATGATGTGGGATTTAATTTATGGGCTCAACAATTTAAAAATCCATTATGATCGAAGTACAGACTGTAAGCGTTAGAATTTATTATATATACTGGTAGAGGAAAATCCCCTTCAAATTATGGGAACACTGATTAATTATTTATATCTTATCTGTGGCGATCCCACCGATTGATTGAACTTGTGTTCTTAATATGCCAAAAGGTAGACACGTTCCATATCTAAATATTTCCACTCATAAATATGTATGAAAGTTGGGGCGTAATCTTATCAATATATTCTGCAACCCCTTAGTGACAGTTTCAGGTCGGTCAACGATGGAAAGGTAAACTATTTGCTCTAGGCTATAGTTTGATTGAACACCCAACTAGACTGACATACAGAATTGAAGTACATTTATGGTACACCTACTCTAAGCTTAAAACACACACAAAAAACAACTGTGTTTAAACAGCGATAATAATGTTAATTCGGCGTTAAGTAAGTTAAGTGAGCCGCAAAAGACGTCAGTGGGTTCTACTCTCCCACTCGCATTTTTATGCTCACAATGCTATTTTAGACACTTTTGTGTTAGCGCTAATTCCTGACGTCAAAAGTGTACCCTGCACTCTGATCTCCCACTGGACCTGCCACTGGATCTGCATGTTATCTATATTGACAGCCTTTCTGGCCTTCCTAGAGGGCAGCAAAATTAAGTCTGCTTTACCTTTAACACACAGATAATATTGTTTGTTTTTTCAATAAATATATAAACTTGTTCCATTGATATTTTTGTACGATTGATGTCTTGTCTTGAGGTTGCTGTTGCTGCCATTTTCACTTCAAACTTGATTGCTGTTTATTTTCACAGACTGAAACTGAAAATGGAACTGGCAATCAAAATGGAAATGGAAAACGAATTTATGTTTCGATTTTAATTTTCCTTCTCTTTCTCCTTTCAATTGCATTTAAATTGTTTACATTCCGCTCTCTCAACGCAAAAGCCTTGAAAATCGAACCCAATATGAATCACACAGAGAGACAGCTCTAGGGATTACTTAATTGAATGTCAGGAGATGGGTATACGTGCTGAGCAACAGTTAGTAAAACTTTTAGACAGTAGAAAGGTAATGAGTAATGAAGAGTTGAACGAGTTCATTGGGGAGGGCTCCTCCTTCCAACTGTCAGCAATTTTGGCTTTTACGACTCAATGGCAATGATTCCTAAATTTGCTATGACTCCTACACAGTGAGCCACAGAGACCACCAATCAATTAGCATGGTCATATATCATATCAAATGACTGCCACGATCAACATTTTATGACACAAACAAAATTCAGAGCACCACACGCGTGCTTCGTGTCCAGACCAGCTCTGGACGATGCGATTATTTCAGATACAGACTCTGCGGAAACTCCGGACTGCGGGGTACTCGCCTTCTCTGTGGATATTGTCGGCGGACATGAGACAAATCTCAAGACGACGCGCGACCAATTGAAAAAATAAACAAATAAAAGAAACACCCAAAATTATAAGCGCCTCCAGACTAAACATTAACTTTTCCCTTTCTTTCTTCTCGTCTTTTTGCAGTTCTTCAAATGGGTTGACTTGTGATATTGCAGCTTCCTGGACCCGGGAAACAAAAGGTAAGACAAGGTCTTAAAATCTCTGTTTACATGAGAATTATATGATTTACATTCAGTTTAAACAATTACATCTAGTAGTAGAATCTTCCATTCCATTTGGTAAATATTTGCGCCTTCTCAGACATTTCCGCTTGTATGCAAAAAGGCAAAATCAGAATCAGCAAAGTATTATGCGGTACATGCCTAGTACTCGTAATAGGCATCAATATAAATGTTTAATTGTATTTACCCGCTGACTGACTGATGCTATAATACTATTCGATTTTCTTTAAGCAACATTTTGCACAAGGAATTTGCTACTCCACGTGCCAGACGAATGATATTATTGTGTTTTGGTATTGCTCGATATTTGCTTTTAGTTGAATCAATTTTGGAATTTCCTCCATACAATTAAATTCTTTTGGTAAGTGTGGATTGGCCAAGAGAACTTTGTATCCAAATATAATTTAGCTTCGATTATTTATAATCTTTTTGGCAAAAGGAAATCTGGTTTTGTAATTAGAATGTTGTTTATTAACTTACCCGTAGGACAAAGACAAACCACCATCAGATAAGCTAAATGAACTTGCTTTAAACACTTTAGGCACGATCTTGTGGATTCTTTTATGATATGGGTAGAGGTAGAGGGTAGAGGAACCGCAGATGTTCTGCTTATCTTCGAGCAACACTCTCGTAGCCAATTTAACCAAAGACCAGCAGTGGCTTTAGCTGCTGTTTTTTTGTGCCATAAAATTAATTTATTAGTTTTACAAATGCTTAACAATTTGTTTACCCATTGAATGTGGAATTCCGTTCGCGAATCTCACAAGGGAAAGTGTGAAATAAACATACAGATAGATGCGCGTATAGTAGATGGGAATCAGATCAGCTCTTGAGTAGAAGAAAGTGGATATATGTAAATATTTAAAATGGTTCAAGGGCAAAGAGTAAAGGGAAACACTCTCATGGGTAATAATTCCGGGGGTTGAGCAGATCAGAAAAGTTTCCAAAATCTGTTTATTATGGAAGCGAGAGATTGTGCGCTGAATAAATATTTAAACTAAATGGACACTTTGATGGGCATCATTTTCTTTTTCAAATTTCAATAAATATTCTTATTATTTTTGCATCTCGTTTGCTTTCAGGGATACAACTTGAACCTCAAAAAAGACATAGCCCAAGATAACATCAGAAATACCATCCACAACATCCATCCAGCCAACCATAGGATAAACCCCGACAATAGAACCCAGTTGAACTGTTTGGAATCGCTGCAAGACCAATGAACTACTCGGCCACATCGCTGTACAGCGTGGCCACCATCTACAGCACCTGCTCCCGCTTCTACGCCTGCTCCAGCACCAGCGCCTGCATACCCCAACAGCACACTGGCCAAGTGATTCGTCAACGTTTTGGCCACTCGTACGCAGCACGTGCCGATCTCAATTATAGCCAGGAATACTGATACCGATACTCCGATACGACCCGCAACTGCGCACACTGCAGCAATCGCGTGTGATCTATATTTGCTTTTGGTTATCAAATCAGCTTCACGACGGCCGGAACAATGCTTAAAGTTGTTGGTGCATCATGGCAGAAAACACGGATAGGGACTTACATACTCATCGGAGCTGGTTTACTGGTAATTGGTGCCTTCTTCATTGGCTACATGGATCGACCCGAGTATGATGGAACCTACTGTGCAACGGCATTCTGGACAAAGCAAGTTGGCTTTCAAATTGAGAACTGGAAGCAGCAGAATGATTTGGTCAACATACCCAAGGGTGTGGCGAGGATATGCTACAAGGATTCGGTCTATGAGAATGGGTAAGAACTGGCAAACATTCCAACTGATCGTACTCTAATAAGCCCTCATTCTCCCTGTCTAGTTGGGCACAAATTGAGGTGGAGACGCAGCGAACGTATCCGGATTGGGTGCAGGCCTATGCGGCGGGCATACTGGAGGGTTCACTCACCTGGAAGAACATCTACAATCAGTGGGCCAAGTAAGCTCAAGCAACAAACGAATGTAACCATAGATTGTAATGGATTTTTTCATTTTTTTAGTACAATTTCCTCATCCTGTGAGCGAGATGAGAGCACACAAAAGTTCTGCGAGTGGCTAAGGGTTCTGTTGACGACAAACTTTGAGCATCTGAAGAAGCAGGCGGCCATCCGGGCCGATCACGATCACTACTGGCATCAGTTGCATTTGTTTTTCAATCAGTTGGAGGGCCTGGAGACGGGCTACATTCGAGGCGCCACGCGTGCACGTTCCGATCTGGAGGAGGAGATTCCACTCTCCGATTTCCTGCTGATGAATGCCGCCGCTGACATACAAGACCTGAAGATCTACTACGAGAACTTTGTGCTGCCCAATAGCACGGTGCTGGAGGAGGAGGCCAGTGATCAGCCCAAGAACTTCTTTCTGCCCAGCGCATCGATGCTGACGAGGATCATCCAGCAGGAGCAAAACCCACAGACGCTGCAGCTGCTTTTTGGCCACAGCACGGCGGGCAGCTACTCCTCGATGCTGCGGATACAGAAGCGCTACAAATTCCACTACCATTTCTCGCCCAATCAGCGGAGCAACACTGTGCCCGGTGCGGACATCACCTTCACAGGGTATCCCGGCATACTCGGCTCCACCGATGACTTCTATGTGATCAAGGGCAGGCAGGTGCAGGCCATTGTCGGTGGCGTGGGCATCAAGAATGAGAATCTGCAGCTGTGGAAGTCGGTGGACACCAAGGATGTGGTGCCGCTGGTGGCGCGTGTAATGGCTGCCAATCGCATTGCGCAGAACAGACGCACTTGGGCCAGGGCCATGGCCAGGCATCCCGCAACAGGAGCCAAGCAATGGATCACCGTCGATCTGAACAAATTGGGCGTGCAGGATAATCTGTACAATGTCCTCGACACTGATGACAAGCACGATGATGCTCCTGTGCCGCTCAATGACAAGGATAAGGCGGCGATACAGTCGCGTCACGATCAGCTGAAAGACATGGTCTGGATTGCCGAACAGTTGCCGGGCCGCATGCCCAGTCGGGATGTTACTCAGAGTTTCCTTGTCGTTGGCAACACCTCGTGGCTGGCCAATGGTGTGCCCTACCTCAAGGAGACCCTGGAGGCCAGCGGCGTCAACTACAGCGACGATCAGCAGCTGTCTGCCGCCGATGAGGCGGAACTGACGAACCTCGAATCGGTGGACAAGTATCTGCGCGCTCACGGCTTCCGTGGCGATCTGCTGGGCGGTGAGGAGTCCATTGCCTATGGCAACATCGACCTCAAGTTGTTCTCCTACAATGCGCGACTGGGCATGAGCGATTATCATGCGTTTGCGGGTCCCATATTCCTGCGACTGCAGCATGTACAGCCGCGTGCGCTGGATGAGGACAGCCAGGAGGATCAGCAGCTGCAACAGCAGGATCAGGGTGTGCCCTCCTCCATTGGCGACGAGCGTCTCAGTGTGACCATCGATGATGCAGCCAGTCTGGCCGAAATGGAACTCATCACGGAGCGGCGACCGGTGCGCAATGATATGCGAGCCATTGCCATGCGGCGAACAGGCAGTGGACCCTTCAAGTGGTCCGACATGAATCCCATTGAGGACGGTGGCCACGAGGGCCAGCCCGATGAGTGGAACTTTGACAAGGTGTCCCCCAAGTGGGCGTGGTAAGCGCTTTTCCAAATACAATCTATGGAGAATTTTGCGCCACCCAAAACCAAACCCAATCCCCACAGTAGAATTGAATCGAATTTCCCAAAGTCTCAAAACCCACACCCCCATTTCCCCCTCCATTCTTCCAAACCAATCCAGGAATCCAGTCCATGTCTACCCCATCGTATCGTATCGTTCAGTGTGTGTGTTCCTAGCTGTTAGTCCACGTTTATCCAAGTATCTTACGTCCATAGTCGTTTAGGGGAGTGTCTACTGTACTTATCTGTGCATGTACTTTGCGGGTCCAATCCGTCAACTGGTGTCTTCCACATTTTATGTACATATCTTTTTTGTAGTACTTTTTTTTTAAATTAGCAACAAAATTGTAACAATATTTTTTTAGTATCAAATTTTTGTACTTAGCAACTATAAAAAAAATATATATGCAAAAGAAAACACTGAACATATATTTTTTTATTTTTTTAATTAGGAATTTTTAATTAAGAAAATATATAAATAAGCAACTTAAATTATAAGTAAACACGGAAAACGCACTAATTTTAAATCTAATTTTTGCAATAGGTATTCGAAATTCCGTTAGCAAGGAATGGAATCATTCGAAATACTGTACGCAAAAGAAAGTATTCGGCTGTCGACACAGACATCGTCTAGCCAAGACTGCAACCCTTGCAAGATGGAGTATTTGAAAGCTTTTCGGTTGAGAAATGACATTGTAAGTTCGAAATTGCTTGTCTACATTTTGGTGGCTGGTTTTGAAATTCGATTAGCACTCGGGAATGGTATTGTTAATAATTTTAGGATTTTGGATTCTTTTTAATATTAATTAACATAAGTCTCAATTTGCATTGCAATGCGGAGAAAATTAATTAAGATTCAAATTGTTTGTGACTTGAACATACAATATTTAAATCTATTCTTTTTAATAGGTTTTCGAAATACCGCTATCAAGGACTAGAACCATTCGAAGTATATCCAAAAGTATTCGACATTCGGAAACAACATCCGACATGTATTCAAAATTTCGAAATCGTCTAGCCAGCACCACAACCCTTGGTTCAAAAATTCGATTGCATGTAAGTTTGAATTTGAGTTTAAAAATTAACTTGGTGTTGGGTTTGGAAATTTAATTTATTTAATAAGAAGATTTCAGCATACGGATGGGGTTTAAATTGTTATTGATGCTATTGATGTTAAATCAACGCTAAAAGTATTCTACACCAATTGATATACCCTCTGAGAAGATATCTAAAAAGTTGTAGTTCAAATTCAAAAGGGAATTTAAGTCTTTCTATTTTCAATTTAAAATTAAAGACAGCGACCTAGTTCAAACAAAGAATATTCCTGAAGTTTTCATTCAGGGTATACATGTCAAAGTCAGCATGAATGAAATTCAAATGCAAAATACAGGCACAGAAACCGAAGAAGTTTTGACTATCAAAAGTATCAGAAATCAGAACCCCTCCTCATTGATATATATCTCCCACTCAGTGTTCACTCATCTGAGACTTGTCCAGCAGTATCTCTATCTGTGGTTCCGCTCTTGCCTCTTGCCGCTCTCATTTTCTGCGCCTGGCTGCAATTACACGCACCATTCATGGGTAGACTTAGATGAGGGGGAGAAAGGGGATTGGGGACCAGACGTGGACGTGGACGAAGAGACCGCAATAAAATACGAGAGGGAAACTTGTCAAAAACAATTCGTAGAAGCCCCGCACCAATTACCAAACTCAAATAGATCTATTTCGAAATTCAATTTGCTCTTGTTCTCTCTCTAGCAACTTGCATCTCGCATCTCGCATCTCGCATCGTGCGACCGGGGCAGCCAACAAACGAGGCCAATTACTTTAAAATATTTCGTCGAGCAAACTTGGTCGGTCGACAAGTTTCAAAAACACAGACAAGAAAAAAAGCAAAAAACGAGCAGAAAAGAGGTTCGCTCTTTTGTCTCAGTCGGCAGGGGCGGAAAAGAGTGTAAGAGAGTGTTGAGGAGAACAAGCCAAATGGAGCCTGGCAACAAGCTAAGCAGAAGCGGGAAGCAGAGCAAAGCTGAGCAGGAAGCTGGGGAGAGAGCTTGCTGGGGGGGGCCAAAGAATAAGACAGAAATCCCTTTTATGCTTTGATTATGGTAATTTTGCGATTTGTTTTCATTGCAGTGAAACATGCAATTTTCCTATATATATATATATATAGATCTACATATATATTAGAGTATAGTATATTATATAGAGGGGTGTGGGGGGGAGTGTACACTTTTGAGCTCTATTTCTCTGGTATGCAACTTGCTTTTGCTTGACAAAGAGCCCGTCTGTCCGCCAATTTGCATAAGTTGTGCCCCGGCAAGCAGGCAAGCAGGCAAGCGAAAAGGAATTACGGCAATATATTTTGTATACATTGCAAGTGGAAAGTGGGTGGATATACCCGTACAGGTCCTCGCTCTCTATTTATCTGTGGGTTTATATGATTTACCTGAATTATGGCTCGACACTGAGTTCGGTTTGTTGGCCTCTAGCTAATTTATAAGCGTAAATTTACTTTGATGCTAATGACGCTGCCCCAAGGCCTTCGGCTCCGTTCCTCCTCCAACGATTGTCATCAACAAACATAATCACGGCCCACGCCCCCCTCCCGTATGTGCATTGATAGTTTTATGCTGATATATCAATATCCATGGCAAAGGTGCATCGAAATTTGGTGCATTTGCTCAAGGCTGCTCGCCCCACTGCCCCACTGCCCTCTGTCCTCTGTCCACTGTCCATGGCCGGAACGTTTCCAGTGTAAACCTCAATTCGGTTGGCAGGTGTTGGCGTTGTGCAGGCACAGTGTGATTTATGGTTTTAGCCACGCAATTGCGTACCGCAGGAGCACCAGGGACAGCCAGTGACCAGCATTTTTAAATTTGTGCCCTGTGCCACGTGGCGTATGCGTAACATATGCGAGTGTGGCCAGGCCAGGCTGTCAGGCACTTGTATCTGTGTGTGAATGGTGGCGACTGTGTAGATGCTTCATTAAATTTAATTTTTCATGTGTGTGCGGCGAAGTTTTTAATTTTCAAGGATGCACTTATGTTGAGTGGGGTCGTTAGAGATGAGATTGAAGAGCAAAGTAGAACAGGAATAAAGGATGGTAATAGTAATGGGGGAAAAAGTAAGGGTGTAGAGAGGATTTAGGATTGGTTGACTGTGGGAAATGGTAGCAAGAAGCCACCAGAAATGTACTAATTAATGGATGTTAACAGTGACAGAGCGTTGTGGGATTGATACACTGACACTCAGCGACGCAGTATAGCTCGAATGTATAAATAATTCTGCAAATGTAAACCAATAGTTACAAGAGCTAATTACTTGTTTAAGTTACAATTTAAACTCCGATTTGTTTGCCACAGAAAATGCAATTTATAACCATTTGATGAAATTAGTTTTTGGCTACAAAACTCTCCCTTCCAATTGTGTTGTCTGTATCTGTATTCTCCTGCAGGTACATTGTTAGTCGCCGCAGGGCAAGTCATCCACTCGTATAAGCAATTGCAAGAGCTTTCATCTGTGTACAGAAACTTCTAGCAGTTTTGTGTTCGTATCATGCCAGTCACACACACAAAAGATTCGCTTGGGCAACTTGTTATTTATTTGCTCATTTATTTGTGGCAATTTTTTGTGTGGCCTTCCTCCTACGATTGTGTGGGTTCGCTTTTTTGTGGGTTAAACATCTTAATAACAAATTTGTAAAGCTTAGCAGCGATAGCAGAGGGATTCCAGGCTAAGGGATGTTACATATAACCCTTAAAGTGGTTCTGCTTGCCCCCCCGCCCCACAAAGCTTTGGAATGTTGACTTTAAAGCATTTAAACCCTTCGTGATGGCAAACAATGACCAGAGTTGCACAGTTCAGCCACGCCCCTGCATCCGTGGTGTCTGCCCAGAAAACAGTGGCGAGGTCATTGGGTCATCAAATTGAAATGTGGAGCGTTGGTTTTTGCGGCATTTCGGTTGCGGATATTTATCCAGAATGGAGAGGGAGGTCATCAAAGTGACATTTGCCGCAGCCTCTAATTGCTCTCAATTAATGGTGGGTTTGGGTTTTTTCTCTTATTTGAATAACTGAAAAAAGCTACGAAAAATACTCGATAGTAGCTGATGGATGAATGATGAATGGATAAGGGTTTGAGCAACCCAAAAACCTCTCCACCGCTCTCTACAGTGCACTGAAGCTGAACGTGGACAGCCAAAAACTCACCCAATAATAACTTTAATGGCTTCTGCCTGCACCTTAAGTCAAACAGCAAAGCCATAACTCAAACAGACTTCAATGCCAATAAGCAGCTGGAAACCATCTTAACCAGGCAACCAGCCCGAAGGACCAGCCCGACAAGTAACAGCAGAAGGAGCTGCTGCTGCTCCACTCCACTCCAAGGATTATGAGTTGGAAAACAATAAATATTGCCTCAAGAGGGGGAGCAGGAGGCTGCGGGCATTAGAAATCTGTTACACAATACACACACAAGAGGGAGTGGGAGTGGGAGTGAGGGTACTGGAACACGTTCTGCATGACAGCCATGACGTTGACAAAAACAAAGTCATCAACGATAAGTTGAAGTTGGAGAACTGCAATCAAAATTGAACAGAGAGAGGAGAAAGGATATGGGGTTGGGTGTGGGTGTGGGTGTGGTGGGACTACAAAGCATCATCCAGTCTGTGCCTCGAACTTGTTTTGCATTTTTTCAAGTGTTTGTCAGTGTCGTCGTGTTCTGGTTTATGATTAAAGTAAAAGCATTGCAAAATACACTCCGTATCGAAGGCTGCCCTATCATCCACTCAACCTTTACTCGATCATCTCTTCGTTTTGTTTGGCAACTTCATCATTGTGATAAATGAGCTTTGGCACCCGCAAACCCCACCGCTCAAAATTTTGTTCCAGTTTTTTTTTTAGATTTTGCCCCAAAAACTTTCTTTTAGCCGAATTGTTATTAACAACTTTTTTTCCCCCCAAACACACACACCCAGACCCCCCCACACATTTGAAAAGTTCAAAGCTCAAGGACTTATACCACATCGAAACTAACAAACAAAACTTTAAACATTCCCATACATTTGTGCGGGGAGGGGTGAGTGTGTGGAGGCCATCAGGATCATTATCTGCTGGGATGCAAATGTTTGACATGCAGCCAGGGGGTCGTAGTAGTAGATTCTTTTAGCGCTAACTGTGTGCCACTTGGATAGGTTCTAGCTTCTGGCTTCACATCTTCACAGCCAACAAACGACTTTGGCACTTTTGGCACGTGCCTCCCTCCTCTGTAGCCTCTTGCCTCTGCTGCAACCCACTTGGAACTTAGTTAGTTTGATTTTCGGAATGGTTTATTGTGTTGGTTTGGCATGGCGTGGCTGATGTTTGCTCCTGCTGCTGTAAACCCATTGTTATCAACCAATTTGCCAGGCAATGGTGCGTTTCCCCTGCCCTTCCTGATTCGTTCTCTTCGCTGATGCTGGCATAGTGCGTTCCAAATGGCTGCTGCGTGGGTGCGCTGCAAAGTCCACAGTAAGTTGGCAACTAAAAGCTCGTGGGGGCGGTTCGCCTTTTCTTGGTTACATTTGCAAACATCATTTTGAGTGAATGCCAAGCGAGGGCCCGGAGGAGCCGGGCTTAAATGACTTATTCTCTGCTTCGAATATTTGCTGTCAAATATCAGCGAATGGCATGGGCAAACTTTATGCAGATGATTATCAGGAGTGCGAGGGTTCTGGCAGCAGTTATGAACAGAAATATTCACACACAAATATTCAAGATTTATTCGCTCAGAAATATGTGCACCTGCCACAAGGGTAAAATTATAAATTTTCCAGCATCAGACAGCCAGCAGCAGTAGGTGTGGGTGTCCGTTCAGGTGTCAATGTGTCTGTGTGTGTGGGTGTGTGTGGAAAATGCAATGAAAATAGGCCAGAAAATGCCCCTTCCCTGCTCCGCTTTCTCTTTCTCTCTTTTTTGGGTGCAAAAGTTATGCGAGCGAACCGCAAGGTAATTAAATTCCTTAACCTTAAGCAGCATTATGGGTGGGATGGGACGTTATCCCATGGCTCTGTCCA